CGCATTGCATTACTGCAAAAAACGCATAAAAATTATGAATGTTTCTCGGCTACTTCCATCTTAACATGCATTCGTTCCATTTTCTGCAGTACGTCACTGTGGTGTGACGCTGACTGAGAAAAAGTAAGCTGTTTTTACTGATGTCTATTATTCCGTCCAAAACAAGCATGTCGTCATTCTCAGTGCATGCCATAGTAGTTATCATTGCACGTCTGCACGTAAAGGCATGTTCATTTGTACGTGCTTCTGTGCTCATAGGACAGCGCACAGGTAAATGAAGCATCTGGCGTAACTGCGCGGTAAAATGGAGTGCGAACCAACTGAAAAGTCAACACAAAAAGAATGATGAGCTGCTTCAGGCAATAAATGGAAAGGGAATGGACCGTCATTTATTGGGCCTGAGAAAGATCGCTGCCGAACATGGACGACCAATACCGAAAATTTTTGAAACCGAAGCGTACAAGAAAATGATGAATTTTACACTTTCAACTTCACAAGTAAGCTTTCTTTAAGATTCACTATAATTTTGATCAAACGAAATCGAAATGCTCCTGCAACATCAAGTGAGAGGTTGAACAGCTTATCTGCAGAGTATCTTAATTATTCCAAAAAGGATGCAAAGATAAACGATGAAGTTATTAGCGTCCACGGCGATGTTGATCAGGCGGTACTGATAACCAGCATCCAATTGCTTGGAGCACCGCCATATATATAATTGTAAGACATACATATCTAATTTTACATATAATTGTATCAATTGGCTAGAGTACTAATTATGATATATATGTGTATATCATAATTAGTGCTGTATATCATAATTATATATAGTTACATCAGTTGCTACATATGCGTATATATAAATAAAATTAAAAAACCATATTAAATGATCAGATTGAAAAATTAGATGTGGATCAGCGAAACGCTGTGAGCAAGTTTAGGTACCGACTGTGAACTTCGTTCCGTTAGCGTATGGGCCGTCGGCGCCGGATGGCTTTGGTATTTGCTACAATCCTCAACCCGAGCAACTGCACTTCACCATTTGCACATTGCACAGCTGCCTAGAAACCAGCTCAGCCAGGTAATTTTTTGATGAACTTCGGCCGCAGATGCCAGTTTGGAAGATGCATGAAACATTAAACCCAATTTACGAAAGATGAGAGAACTCAAGAACCCGTGCAGTTGAAAATCTGACATCGGAGGCACAGAGGTATTCCAGAAAAGCCAAAAAAAAAGTTCTCAAAACCCCCGCTTCCTATGTTCTCTGGTTGCAAGACTGCAAATGCGTGACCGTCTTTGCAGGGTTAAAAACGCTGTGTATCAAACATTTTCAGTTCTACAACTAAACAATAAAAAATGGCCAACGCACGGGCTGCCCGCGCGAAGATGCGTTTTTTGCAGAGTTCCCCGCAGGTTTTTGTCGCCACCGGCATCGGTTTTTCGGCACATGCTTCTAGGTGAATTTCAGACTGCCAGAACTGTCAGGAAACATCCCCTCAAAATTCCAGTCTTCTAGCTTCTCACGTTCTCGAGTA